GACATGCCGGCTAGCAGGTGTTGAAGCTGGAGCCGGAGTGGCAGCTCCCACTGCTAGGCCATGTCTGCCCGGCCTGTCACAATTCACGCAGTTTCCTGGGCATGCAAACATTTTTCTTCAAAGCTGTCAGCCTAACTTGGTATCTGCCAGAAGAAAGAATGAAAAAATACTATAAAGTAACCCACAAAATTGAAAATAATTGGCAGAGGCACCAATATGTACTTTCTAAACTTGCTACGAGATGAGATTCTGTTTAATGAAGTCACATAAACTTTGTACCAGGCATAAAGCCACAGTGTAGTGAAGATGCAAAACTGAAGACAAGATTGACTATCGCCTAGTACAGGCGCACTTTCTAGGGCTCTTCTATCCAGTTTTGGTAAGCTTTACGTTGAGTTGCTTTTTGCACAGTATGAAAGAAAGCCATTTACATTAAATTGTCTAAAACCACTCAGACTTCATTTAAAGCGAGGTTTCCTATAAGAACACTGCCCCATTCACTAATCCTTTGCATTGCTTGCTTCCAACCAGAAATGGATTATGGTTTAGATGTGAGGTGGCCCCCAAATCTCATGTGTGAGACAATGCAAGAAAGTTCAGAGGTGAAATGATTAGGATATGAGAGCTGTAATCAGCACATTAATCTACTGATGGGGATTAACTGGGAGGCAACTAACTGTAGGCAGGTGGGGTGTGGCTGGAGGGGATGGGTCCCTGGGGGAATGCCTTTGGGGTATATATTTTGTCCTTGTTGAGCAGAGCTCTCTCTGCCTCCTGGTACCAGGTCCTCAGACATTTCCCTCCACCACACACTTCTGCCTTATGTCAGGTCCAGAGGTATGGAGGAGACTATCTATGGACTGAGAGCTCTGAAACTGAGCCTCAAATAAACTCTTCCTCTTCTAAGTGTTCTTGTCAGGTCTTTTGGTTTCAGAAGCAAAAAGATGACTGAAACACCCTTTGTGTTGCTTGGCCCCTGCCTGACAGATCACTGCAGATCCATCTGACACAGACTTCTGGAACGTAGCTGGTAAAACACAGCTGTATTTCAAGTGTCACAGAATTTATAGGCACCCATAAAGACATGGCTGCTCCCTGTTCCTCCCCCCATCTCATCACCCCAGTCTTCCCTCCCCTTTAACACCAGCAGAACATCTGCAAATGGAAAGCTTTGACTGACATATCCTAAAACATTAGCAAGTGACATTGTCATTTGCAATCACATTATGTGAGGTTTATCAATTAAAGGATTCGCAGCTTTGGACAAGTCTAAATACAGCCTGGGAATGCATTATTTAGCAGGTTTATTAAGGCATCCCTGATACTGCTTCCAGGTCCTCCTTTAGCAGCAGTTGGCCTGTTGATTACTCTTCACTCCTCCAAGAAAACACAACTGTCCCGAGATGGATAAAATTAGTCTTCTCTTAAAAAAAAAAAAAAAATCAAAACAGCTGCAATGTCCTATATTCACTAAAATTGTCACAAAATGGTGACAATGTGTTTTGACACATTGAGGTGAATATTTATCTTACGCATGTGTGTTTAGACAGATGGAAACCAGGGTAGGACTTCATAGTGTGAGCAGCCTTAGTTTTCAATAATGATCCTTATGCTTTCGTTATTCTGTGGTCTATATATCGTGCTCCCAAACAAAACAAACAAAAGCAGCTACAAGGCCTCCTCCTTCCAGCCCCAGACAGCTGGCAGTGGGAGCAGGAGGTCAGAGCGCTTCATCCCTGCAGATCTTCCCACCCAGCGCCTGTGCCTTGCTCCCAGAGACAGATTACTCATCTCCCAGCCTCTGAGTGGGAAGGGTGACCCGGCTGCCTGTTGGACAGATGAAGCTGGTCACTCTTAACCCCGCTTCTTCCATGCTCGTTGACACCTATCACAGCCCCTCAAAGCAGTCAGTCACAGTGGTCAGTACTACCTGGGACTGGCACGCAGGTCTATTGGTGGAGACCCACGTCACCCACTCCCCTGTCTGTTCTTCATTAGGGGTGCATATTTGCCCGTATGTGGGGTAGTTTGTGGGTATCTATGGCAAACGCATACCTCGCGCCTGTGTCACTGGTTATGAAGTCACTGTTTTGGTTTGCCTTTCACTTACTTCTGTCTGTTTCGAGTCTCAGACAAGGAGCACTGGTGACAAGTAACCTCAGGTGAATGACTTGACTGAACCCCCAATCCAGCAGCAGCCAAGAATGTTTCAAAAATTGAACTGATGCTTTAAAAATACTAGTCGGATGGACTGAAGGCAGAAATCTAAGACCTGACGCTGTGAGACACCCAAATTTCTGGGGAACGAGGGGAGACACCTCTGTAGGCCAAGATCCAAAAGAGACCACAACATCATGCCATGGGAGACGAAAGAGAAACCCGGGATGCCATCAAGCTAAGAAGCTTCTGCACAGCAGAGCAGACAGTCCAAGGGAGGAGACAGGCGGCAGAGGGGGACTTGCAAAGCACGCATGTCCCGAGGGTCGACACCCAGAATATGCAGGGAGCTCCAACAACTTGACAGCAAACAGGAGTGATGGGAATGGACGGAGGAGGTGAATGGGAATTTCTCAAAAGAGAAGGGCCAAGGAGGACATACATGAACAATGCTTGGGACCTAAAACCCCTGAACTGGCTTTGCGTTCCACCAAGTCAAAAGTCACTACAGTGCTCAGGGCTGGGCACGGCCTCCGCTGACTGTGTGAGACCCCGCCCGCTGCACTTGGCCTCCAAACATCCCCTGCGCAAGGTGCCCAGGGCACCCTCTGAAGGACTGCGGCCCACGGTGGGGATGGCGGGCAGCACTGAGAGGGGAGAGGACAGCTGAGGTGAGAGGTCTGGCACCAGTGGGAGTGGCTGCAAGCCTGCTCCTCCAGAGGGACCCGTCTGGCTCGGAACAGGAGCGGTTCCACACTGGTCTCCCTCTCAGGGTGCGTCTCAGGCAGCTGGGTGACCTCGTACTGCAGCGCCTACTAGCTATGTTGAGTAGACAGCCAGGTTACTTCTCTGAAGAGCTGCCCATGACCCTGTGTGGCACTTGCCCCGTGTCATCCTTCAGGTTAAACAACACCCCCTGGAAAGAAAAGTCGATGTCTGAAACACTGGACAGTCCCTGTGAAGGGACACTCTGGTGCCTCTGTCAGTAACACCATCAAGAAGGATCCTCTAGCAATTCCTGGGACTAAAGGACTTAGAACTTTTGGGAAGCAAAAAATACGCACATTTCATTTTTTGGAATCATCTCACCCGACCCCGATGAATTCCATTTATGTCTCTCTCAGCTAATGCCACATCTACACCTTTGTAAGAATTAGATTCCTGACATTTTTGTGATCCAGTTATTCAAATCAATAAGACACTGTTGTGTCTTTCACATTACTTAATTCCCTTGGTATCCTTACTAGGCCAAGTATAGAAAAAGACAAGACTTGAGTATTTTAGTATAAATTCATTAATCAGAAGAAAATCTATATGACAAAAGAACCTTGATGAAGCTGGGAGTTGATAGAACTGGTGAAAGCATAGAAAGATGATTGACAGATCAGTTCAACTCTGACTTTATAAGGTATGTAACTGTGGAATAAGTAAAGACCCTTTAGTAAAAAGGGGGTGGGGGAAGGACTACGGGGAAATGCGAGCAAACTAAGGTGATATACACAACCCGGGCAGCACCTATGGCTTCCGAGGGGTTTTCATGTGGAAAGACCCCGAGGACACGGTGACTCAGTTTTGATGATGCTATCCTGGTCCAGATGGTTAAACCGTAGACAAAACACTGTAATTACGACCCTAAAATATAACCTAGCAACAAAATAAATGCCATCGAAAATATTTCTTTTTTCTTTAAGCAGTTAAAGGGATGGTAATGGAAATAAATGACAAATTCACTGGAGGCACAGCTGTGACGAGATGAAAGGATGAAGTGGGACAGAGGACCCAGGCTGGGGCCCGCAGTGAGTGATGTGCTGGTTAGCCAACGCCTTGCAAAGAAAATCAAACCTGCTGTGTGGGCTCATGGGCTTCCCGGGTGAGCACTCCCACTAGGACAGATACCAAGCTCACTCCCAAGTCTGGCTTTTAATTTTGGCTTATACATGATCCAAGAGAAGCACTCAGCACATTTTCTGGCATTTCATTAAAACCTCAATAGCCAGGCATGGTGACACACAGCTGTAATCCCAGCAACTCGGGAGGCTGAGGCAGGAGGTTTGTAAGTTCAAGGCCAGCTTCAGCAACTTATCAAGGCCTTAAGCATATTAGTGGAGACCCTGTCTCAAAATGATGAAAAGTGCTGGGGAGGTGGCTCAGGAACTGAGCCACCCAGGGTGCTTAAAAAGAAAAGAAAAAGAAAAAAGACACGACTTCAACAAATACGGGCTATATTTTAGTTTTGACTCTCAAGATGCATTTTCTTAGGAAAGTCAAAGTGCAAGAGTTTGAAGATGGTTTTATAAAGACTAGAAAAGTAAAATGATTTCATCAGAAAAGTTAGAATTTCAGAGACTCAGGAAAAGTCACTAGCTTTATACCCTAAGTCAGCAATGGACATTTGAAATAGTGCAGTTATTTATGATTACCTTATTTCACAGTTTAAGAGTGCTGCAAGAGTTCTCAAAGTACAATTTAATTATCAAAGGGTGTTTTTCATTTTTAATGAGAAAAAGGTAAACTCAGAATCCTCGGATCCAGAAGGACATAAACATATGTAAGATAATAGAACATCTTGACCAGAGGGAGCCACACAAAGAAGTGCATAAAGTCTGGGAGATAAATGAAGGAAACTTTAGAACTTGGGAGACATAATGACATGGCACACACTGGCTGGTGGATTTATAAGGTCCTAGCCACGGATTCCTACAGAACACGTCATGTTGCGTGTGGAAAAGACGAGCTGGCCTCTTAACTTCCACCCCCACCTTAAGTGGGCATGTATTGAGTCAGCTCCAGAGTCACTCTCTCTGCCCACGCCACTTTACAGAAAAGCGCTTGCTGCACAGTACCTCTGCAGAAAGGAGCCGGGAAGTCCCAGGAGGCACCATTCCCGGGGCTGACGATGCAGGTCAGGATCGCGTGACCTTCCAAGATGTAGCCAGAGAGGCAGCTGTATCGGATCTTATCTCCTATGTTGAACCTCGTCCCGTGGAGAACACCTTTCAGTATTTCCCCAGGATGTCCACATGTGTGGCTTGGTAGAACTATGGGAAGGAGAAAGAAAAAACAAAAGTGAAAAACAATTCTTCTGAGATCCATTCATATCACCGTATAGGCACCACTTTGAACTATTAAAATGATCAGAACTTTAGCACAGGAAAAAAATCTAATGATGTCAGTGTTTAGAATATCTGCATAATAGTATTTTTATAACCATTTTAAAAAGTATAGATAAATATATATCATTAAAAGACAAGAAACCCCGTTGTGCTGGGATCTGGTGATCCAGATGAGGTCGGGGTTCCATGTCCATGCAGCCAGCCACCAGATAACACTGGGGACACTGAGGTCTGGGGGAAATGACAAGCACAGCAGGAAGCGCCCGCATGCCTCATCGACCTCAGGCTAGATGCACACTCTAGCCAATGTCCTGTCTGAGGGACACAGAGCTGCATGAGGACTAAACTGAAGGTCCCCTCCATCAGATTAAACACCTGACAGTCTTGGAACTCAGGCCTGGGCTCTGCACAACTACAGCATCTGATCTGGGGGAGCTTTAACTACTCCCTGGGACAACATGAGGACCTCATTCACTTGCGATTCCAAAGCAGGGTCTGGATTCTGTTCTTTTCTGACCTGACTTTTCTTCTGGCTGAGGTTCTAGTCAATCAACTGCTTTGAGACTTAATAGACAAGATTTTATTCCATGGTCAAAGAACAGGCTTTTGCACAAAGTTGACGCAACAGCAGGCAGAATGGATGACATGTGGGATTGTGGACTGTCTCCTGCTGCTAGTTTTCATTGAGCATGTCCTCAGTAATGAGTGTATTCAAATGAGCTAAGTGCTTATGTTTTTTTTTAATTTCTTTTGAAATGACTTAAGTCCAAACAGCTATAAATAAAAATTTAGAGAATAATATTAGTTATTAGTAGTTTGGTATTTAATATTGACATGATTATGGATCTCTATTTACATAATCAAGTAGTGTTCATATCTAGTTTTTAAAATTTTCTGAAAACAATGTACCAAAATATATTCAGAAAACAAAATAGTTTAGTACAACCTACAATCAACTGTGTTGTCCATTTAAAAAAGCATGTTCCAGACAGGTTCAGTGGCATGTGCCTAAAACCCCAGTGCTCTTGGCCGAGTCAAGAGGATCACAAGTTCAGGGCCAGCCTCAGTAATGTAGCAAGGCTTGAAGCAACTTAGCAAGATTCCGTCTTAAAATTAAAAAAGGGAGGCTGGAGATGTGACTCAATGGTTAATCACCCCAGGGTTCAATTCCTAGTATCAAAAAAATAATAATAAGTATATTTTATGTTTAATTCCACACCCACTTCTCCGCTAGCCATTTTGAAATACAGGAGCACTGTGGTCAACCATATGACTCTGCAGCGCTACACGACATTAGAAGTCATCCCTGCTACAACTGCACCTTTGTACAGGCTCCAGCAATGACTGTTCTCCCTTCCAATTCTGTAAGATCCACTTAAAAAAAAAATCAAACAATTTTAAATCAAAACAAATGAATACCCAATTTAAAAATGAGCAAATGATCTGAATAGACGTCTGAGGAAAATATGAAAATGGAAACAAATACTTGAAAACATGCTCCACGTCACCATCATCAGGGAAACAGATCAGACCACATGTAGGTGCCACCTCAGACTCTGGGAGTGAAGCTCATGGAGAAGACAGTGCTGGCGAGTTTGCAGGTGGCAGGGAGCCCTTGGACATGTGGTGGGAATATCAGTTAGTGGGGCCATTATGAGAGCAGCAGGCAGGCTCCACAAGACCTAAAAACTGAACTTCCATAGGATCCAACCACCCCACTGCTGGCCCCTGTCCAAAGCAGAAGACATCGCTGTGTTGGGAGGAGACCTGCCCCTGCACGTGTACTATGGCCTCTCACAGCAGCCAGGTACAAATGCACCAGAGTGTCCACTGCGGGGGGGGGGGGGGGGGGGGGGGGGAAGCACCTGTTCTGGCCACACAAGGGAGCACCACTCAGTTGGGAAGTAAGGTGAGTCGTCCTGCCATGTGCAGCTCCCAGGGACCGGAGGTCACATGCCAAGACATCACGCCAGGCTCAGAAGACAAGCCACCTATTCTCATCCCAGGAGGAGGCTTCCATCAGCTGTGTCCAGGTAAACTGCCTCCAAGGAGAAAATCTACCCAGTGCTTCACACCTGCTAACACAACTGCCAGTCGCACAAATGCAAAGTAATGGAAAGTGAGAACCACCCACTCGAAAACAAAGCCTCCTGCACAGCATTTTCACCCGTTTTACTGTGGAGAACAGCAAGAAAACGCTTCTAAGTGAACTCTGCCATGGATTCTATGATTGTCTGCTGTACGGGAAGCCCCACGTTACACGATACCACAGAAACAGACAGTGGGCACCTGGGGGCGGGCAGGGCCACGTGGGTGGCCCTTGGACTTGCATATGGGACAGCATGGTGCCAATCCTGGACTGTCAGTAGTGTTCCCAGGAGGGCGGAAACCCACGGAAATGCATCACTGGGGGAAACATCAGCCGACAAAGGGAGCCTCCTGCCACGGCTCTGAAGGGGCGTCTGAACACCAGTGTCCTGAAATGTCAACAGAGCTCACCCTACACCTGGGAAGAACAAGCTCTTCCGCTCAGTGTCAACCTAGGAAAGATGACTTTAGTAGGGGAAATTAGTGCGAATGCTGAACGTAGGAACTGTCAGAAACAACAACAAAAAACCCTGGAGCCTGTGCTGTTCTCATGATTAACATCCTATTTCCAATGGCCCAATAGCTGTAGCTGACCCCGACCCAACTGTCGGCTTCCCTTCCAAGGGTGCAGCCTACTCAGGAGGGCAGCCAGGGTGGCCATTTCTTGGGCGTTTAGACCACTTTGATGGCTTCCGTTTTTGTTCTTGTCCCGAGATATTGGCCTTAACATCCTGACACTTGGTCATAGTAGCATGCCGACAACACGCATCAACTCTCGGCCTGTGCACGGCGGGACCCGTTCTCAATGGGCAAGACTGCAGGAAAGTGGAATGGCGTCTAGGTCTCCTTCTCATCTGCTCTCTGCTCCCTAGTGCTTCCTGGCTAGTGCTTCCTAGCCAGCCGTAGTCAGGGAGAGATGCAAAGGCCAAGGAGACCTCCTGGGTCTCCACACCCCTGCTCTGACCCTCTTATGGGATGGAGCTGCGCCTGGCTGAGCGCCTCCTGCAGGTCCCGCCTGGCTCCAGCCTGGGGCGCTCCCTTTTCATCTCTGACAGGGTCAAGAATGGTGGCCCACCCTCAGCAGGCGCTGGCTAGATGTGTGTTGGTTCAACTAAATAATAACTATCTTTAATGACATATAGAGCATGTGTTTTCATAGATCTAAACCTTAGTTGTGTGCATAGCTCATAATCCTGATGGAAGCTGGAAAAAAAAAATCAAATTTTCCCCAAGCAGGTGGCCAAAATATCATGTTGGAAAACAGAATCAGTTAATAATTTGTAACTTTAAATCATTCTGTTCCCACATTTGACAAAAAAAAAAATATGTATACAGATATCAGAGCCTTAAACCGAATTTAAATAAAATTTAATTTTATTTTTCAGTACTAGAGATTGAACCCCATGGCAATCTACCACCGAATTACACCCACAGCCCTTTTAATTTCTATTTTGAGACAGGGTCACTCTAAGCTGCTCATTCTGGCCTCTACTTAGCAATCCATGGCTTCAGACTCCCTATATACAGGTGTGTGCCAATCCTGGCAGCTGAATGCAGATTATTTAAAGAAAAATAGCTTAGAGTAATTAAAAACTACTTTTTAATATTTAAAGTCATTGGTTGGTAGCACAAAGTTATACATTTATGATTTAGGGACTGAGGATCTTTATTTTTTAAAAATTACATCTTGAAAATTTTTTCATTTACGTTTTAGCATAATGTCAATAAGCAAACAGGCATAACTGGAGTTACAAAATAAGAAAAGCAAAAATGCTCAGATTCTAGAACAATCAATTTCGCAAAAATTCACAGGTTTATGAAACTAAAAACTAGATGGTATGATAATTCTATTCAAATACTTAAGAGATACATAAAAATAACTAAATCAGAAATTTGGTGGATCAGAGAAACTTATTTAAAATCTAGGAAATTCATCCCGATTTTTATCTCTGCCAATTTCATGTTAACTTTTTTTTTTTTAGCCCATTCCTCTGAAGACAGTAAATATCCCTTGTGCCTCCCAGGGGCACACAGAGTATCTGGTAAGTGTGTCAAATCGTCTTGACCCTACCTTAATTCCCCCTCACCCTTCCTTGAGCACTGTGAGTGCTTTCCCATGGAAGCTTCAAGAAAGGGATGCTTCTTTAGGTGATGGGAGTTCCGTGCTCTGAGCTTGCGTTTGGTAATGTGAAGGGTTTTCTTGTGAGGAGCCTGGGAAAGGCTCTACCTCCCGTGGCAGGTTTCCACCAGACCCCGAGGAGCCAAGTTTACACCAGGGCCGCAGCAAGGGGGACTGTCATCCTAATTATGCGCATGAAAACTCCATCCACAGCGATTTTGATTTGGCAAGTACATATGGTCACAATTCAGTGACTTAATTGGGCTATCACATCAAACCTTTAACCCAACTGTTTAAATGATTAAATGGATGTCACATTAAATCCCTTTCCAAAAGAAAATTGAAAACACGATAGTACAATAAAATACAGCATTAATATTCATTACTAAATGGGACAGAAGGCGAGCAGAAAGACGTCTGAAATCCACCAAAGGAGCAGTGGCATTTTTAGCAGCATGTGTACAATCAATGAAATTTCATTAGGTACACTCATATGGAAACGGTCCCCAGGGCTCCTGGGGAAGGCTTGTTTACACAGTGCCCGTCTCTCTTGGCTAAGGAAATAAACCTCAAACACCCACGTGGCCTAAGTCACTGCCAAAGTGAACCGACCGTCTCAGATGTGCTTGCCTATAGACGGCTACCCTGGGAAAGTTCTTCACCCCTCCTCCTCCTGCTGCCTTGGGAAGATTAGAAAAATCTTGTTAGATCATTCTCA